ACTACTTTTCAATAAAGCTCATGTATTTATTTGCTTGTTTTTTCATGATTTTTTTCTCGAGGTTGAATAATTATGCAGAGTTACATGCTTCTTCATTTTATACAACACTCTATGTTATAAACATCCTTTCCTTCCTAACAGCCTTACTTGCTAATTTCTTGACTGAATTAAAGAAAAGAGTAAGAGGCCAATATCAAAATGGAGAGTTCCACAATAGCTTTTAAAAGTTACAGATCATTGGATTTCTTATTAAGACATCAACAAGTAGACCACTGAACATTATAAAACAAGAATAAGAAACAAAGAAGAAATTTCATACTGTGTGTGCACTGTGTGTCAGTGGCTATTAATTACTTTGCCTGTACTATCTGATTCTATTCTCTAGACATTGCTATAATGTTGTTATTGTTTCTATCTCTAGTCATTCAGCAAACAGAGGGCAAGAGATTTCACATATCCTTGTTGAGCAAGCATTGTGTTAAGAAGAAATTCCATGCCATTGGTGAAGCTTGTGCTTCTGTTATTCCATGACTTTTATGGGTTTATAAGTAAATTGGAAGGAAATCAGAGTAGAAAGTGACAACATTCTATGATTTAAAGAATTTTAAATAGAGATTAAAAGAGACTTTATGGGATGATAGTTGTCAGTGGTAGCTTCATTTCAGAATTTGAACATATGTTTATGCTGTAACCAAAATAGGAAGGTTCATTCTTGTTAGGAGTTATTTAAATATAAATAGCAATTGATCCTGTGAAATTCTAGAGGGTTTTAGAGGCCATGTATTTGATGAGTAAACATCACATTAGAATATCACTAAGATGAAAGGAAAAAAGGAACATATTGTGGGTGATCATAATAAATTTCTAGATGGGAAGACACACAGAATTAAGAAGTCTGACCAATAAAGCCTTTGAAACTTTTTTCTGATAGAATTATTGTATAGGAAAATATATAATGTAGTGCAGACTAGGAGACTAAAGAATAATGAATTGTTCTTGAATAAAATGTTGGTTAAAAAAGCTATCAATACTGAAGGAGGAAAGAGAAACTTATTTACTGTCAACCATATTTTAGAAGGTGGAATAAGGTTCATATTACCAAAATTATTCCCATTGACTGTCAACCATATTTTAGAAGGTGGAATAAGGTTCATACTGCCAAAATTATGCCCACAGAGGAAAATAATTTATACCTAGAAGAACTCAGTTATTGTTTTTATATCTATCTATGGTATTATGTAAATGTAACTTTGCAGGAGAGACGTCATTGAAAATAAGTATTGAGGTATTTAGATACAAAGTGTAATGCCATATGTCTCTATAAATAGGGTACACAAGAAAAGATACAAAAGGATGTGTGGGATGGAGGGAGAAATTTAAGCAAGGAGAGAAGGATAGAAGAAGAAAATAAACTTACAATGTATTCAGTTTACAATTAATCTTTTACTATCATAACATTTGCCCATTTTGTACCAATTTGCTTGAAGATTTTAGTGAATGATTTATAAGCAAACTTCAAATCAACTTATATCTTTTGGAACATTAAATGTTCTTCCTGAACTGTGATTTACTGTTATGGATAGTAAAAATATAAAGTAATATGGAGTTTGACCCTTACCTTCAAGAGGCTAATAATGTTTTGTAGAAAGAAGAAATCATGCAGAGTAATTACAAAGTATGCATGGGCTAGGCTGTGAAGTTGGATTATAGATACAACAGAGGAAAAGAAAGGAAAGGTCAGGGCCAGCAAAAGTAATCAAAGGAAGTCTGCAATAAGGTAGATAGGATTCATTCTGGGTCATCAGAAATATGTAAGATTTAGATAAACAGAAAGGGTGAGAGAAAGCCACAATAGGATAATATGAGGAGGAGTCAGGGCTTACAGGTGACAAAGTCCAGGGATTAGAGGGTGTAAATGCTGCTTCAGGTAGCTGAAATCATCAGAACATTATCAATAAGGAATTCACAACAACCCTCAGCAAGAGAGAGAGAGAGAGAGAGAGAGAGAGAGAGAGAGAGAGAAACTGTGGCAGATATTCTGATGCCTGCAGCATTAGGAGCAGCAGATCGACCAGATGGGACTGCAGAGCAGGGGATGGGGTGGATCTTTTTAAAAATAGGCATCAAGCTACCCATTAAACTGAGAAGCTGAGCCCAGGATGGTGACAGGTTTTGAAAAGAATGGGCGGAAAGAAACATAAGCCACAATTTGGCTTTTCAAAGTCACACATGCAAAAACAAAAAAAATATCTTCAAATATGAAAGATGAGAATGTGAAGTGCAGCAGTGGAGTCCTTTGATGTTTTGGTAGTTTTTTTTTGAATTCTTGTTCTTTAAATAATTTATTCTGTCAAATTATTATCTCTAATATTTGAATATTTAATTCATCAAACATCAGTTGAAGTAAACTTTAGGTAATAACAAATGTAGCAGAATGTCAAGATAAAATAAAGCTTTTAAAATGTTTGATAATTTTTTAAATGTTTAGATTTACTCCTTTTTAAAATATTATTCATTTTGTTGTGTTTTGTTTTTCACAAGATGCTACTGTTCTTTTTTAAAATAAATTTTTATTTAAGTTAAAAACAATTTTATTTTACATACCACTCCCAGTTCCCTGTTTCTCCCGTTCTCCCATGCTCCTCACCAACCCCCAATCCTATACCCTATCCATTCCCCAGAGAGGGTGAGGCCTCCCATGAGGAATCACGAAAGTCTGACACATAATTTGGGGCAGGTCCGAGGCCCTCCCCCGTGTATCTAGGCTGAGAGAGTATCCCAAAGCCCATTCCTGCACTAGTGATAAATACTGGATCCATTGCCATAGGTCCAATAGACTGCCAAGGCTTCCTAACTGTCACCCACGTTCAGGGTGCTTGGTTCAGTCCTTTGCTGGTTCTCTAGTTGCCAGACAGGAGTCCATGAACTCCCACTTGCTCAGGTCAGTTGTTCCTGTGGGTTTCCCCAGCCTGGTCTTGACCCCTTTGCTCATCGCACCTCCCTCTTTACAACTAGATTGCAGGAGTTCAGTTCATTGCTTGACTGTGAATCTCTACTTGTGCTTTCATCAGCCACTGAATGAAGGCTCTAGGATGACATTTAAGGTAGTTATTAATTTCATTATAGCGGGAGGGCATTTAAGGTAACATCTCCACTACTGCTTAGATTCTTTTGCTGGCATTATCCTTGTGGATTCCTGGACATTTCCCTAGTGCCAGACTTCTCTTTAAAGCTATAATGGCTTCCTCTATTACGGTATCACTTTTTTGCTCTCCGTCTCTATTCTTCCTCCAAGTCGATCTACCTGATCCCTAAAGTTCTTCTTCCTCCTTCTCCCCTCCTCTTTTTCCTACCTCTTTCCCCACCGCCCCCATGCTCCCAATTTGCTCAGGTGATCTTATTTATTATGGCTTATAATATTTTTTAAAGATATAAAGAGTATTATTATACCAGGCAGATAAGGGGAGAGGAGCAGTGAGTAGAGACAAAAGAATCTATTATTTTATCACTCCCTTGCCGGTTCATTAGGTAAAATGTAGTAAAGACAAACGATTTGAGCATTTTCTACCAGCAGCCTGTGACATGAAGACCCTTCCAAGTACAGCTCCTCAAGTGCTCAGACGTTAAGTATATTTTATTATATACTTCACAAATAACTAAAAGAGAGAAGCTCAAAATTTCTCAACTGTAAGAAATAATAAATACTTAAGAATATGGAGACAGTCACTTCTCAGTTTGATAATCCCTCATTATGTACATGTATTGACAAATCAATCTGTACTCCCCATATGCATAATTTCCATGCAGCCATAAAACATTTATTGAAAACTCTTAAGAGAAGAACAGTAATAAAAATCCGCATTAGGCAATATTGGTGCATGAGATTTACACCACTCACACTGACTGGAGGTACTGGATTCTTTGAGTGAAGAACCTATGAGAATTTAAATAAACATTTTGAATTATAAGGAGAAATAACCCCATGCTAGAATTATATGAGGCATTGTCAAGTTGTGGTGATAATATACACAACTGAAACTTGCATGTACATACATTTGTGTGGCAACATATGAGTATCATACTCATCATTTTGTAAAAAAAGTTTTCAAGCTAAACGTACATTAGATTGTAAAGACAGTATAGCTGTACATATGTAGTATGTTATATAGAAGCTTTCTATGAACTAAAATCTTTGCTCCAGAAGTGAAAGGTCGTTTAAGAAGACACATGTTTTCTTTTGTCTTGATTAAATATATTAAAATTCTAGATTGGAAGGATTAGGTACTCATTTATAAGTTGCTTTATTTTAAGTAATTTTATGAATTATGATAGAATAAGTTTGAACCCTTCTATACATAATGTGTTAAGCAATTTAAAATGATAATGCTGAATTTCAACTCTCAAAAGCATTTGTTTCTTATGTTACCACATTGTTTAAATATTTACCACAAACACATTCAGGCTAAATGATGTTAGTCTTACAAATATATAGTTGGATCCTATTTATAAAGATCATACATACATACATACATACATACACATAATATATAATGTCCCTTAGGAATATATATATATTTCCTAAAAACAGAATTGTATTTGGCCCTCATGTTTTAAAAAATTTTTCTTTTCAAAATTAATGTAGGAGTGTTTTCTGCTTTGTTTGTTTGTATATGTGCATAACAAACTTTCTTATCTTGGTGCATGACATTTGTAAGCTTGATAGATTCCAGTGCTAATTTGATCTTTGTTACAATCTCGGATAATCTGCTTTGAGGTTTTGTGTGTTGTTTACATATAATGTTCAGATTGCACTTTTACTCAATCAAAGCCTGTTTAATGTTGCTATCACTAAAGCTTGTTATCATTTATCCTGCTCATTCAGCTGCAAGGTTCAATCTCTGTCCATCATGCTTTTTTATCCTGGGTGCTGCAACATTTTGTTTATTGGTATAAGCTCCCTTTTCCCCCTTTGGCAAGATCATAGTTCTCTGCCTTATGTTAAGATCCATTTAATGTTCTCTTTCATTTAAAAAATATACTTGCGCAGGGGCCATGCTAATCTTCTCTTTATTGTTCCAATTTTAGTATATGTGCTACTGAAAAAAATATAGTTGAATTTAGAAATCATTATAATTAAGGAAGATAAGAAATGTAATGTTGAGTTTGTAATAGTATTGTATTTAAAACGTAAACCATTTTAGAGAAAGTTATTAGAAAACAAGCTCATATAGTAAGGAGGCATAATATTATATTAAATAACCCAAAGTAGCCAGCTTTAAAAGGTGCTCATAAATAAGAAATCTTAGTTTTATGCAAAGCGAATCTAGGAAGATAAGTCAGTCAATGAAGGTATGTGAAAGTGGACTGCAGGTTTTCTGTGAATTCAGGTGTGTTCACTAAAAAATGATTGGGTGTTATGGGATCTTTTAAAAAATAAACATGGTCTTCTTCACCCTGTATAATAATGAACTGCACAGTGGCATTGTAAATAGAAAATAAACTATATGTATAGCAATAGTCCTTTAAAGTAATTATGGAACTAGAAGTTTTTGAAATGTCAGCTTGTAATGTTTGAGTCCTTGAAAGATTAGCACAGTCCTTTTCTATGGTGATAGCAGTATTGAAGCCTCCTTCCCTTTCAATTGTACTAAAGTACAAGCACATGACTATATACAATATATAGTACTTGCTAATGATAACAAATGCAGTTCTATTTTTTCATTCATTTTCAATGCTATGTAGACCAAGTATTATGCTAGTTATACAAACTAAATTGGCACAGTACGGTAAGCTAGTATAATAAATACAATTATTTATTTCACTGTATCTGAAATACTTGACCACAGCTTTATGGGGAAATTTCCAATCTCCAAGCCTCATCCTGCAACCCCAGAGCCCTGACAAAAGTCAGTTGTTAACCTTTCCATGCAGGACCCTCTTGAGGAACAATTACGAAGCACTCCTTGTTCCATTCACAGGACCCTAAAAGGCCTTTGGCCCTACCTAGCCCCTAACACTCAATGTCATCTTACGGATTTCTTTTACATAACTACTGGAATGGTAGGGTTCCAACATGCAGATATACCATAATGCCTAATTTTATTGGGTTTTATGGGCTATGTCATCAGATTTTGATTAAATATACTATTATGTTCATAAAAGAATATTTCATCAGATGACAGTTTTCACCAAACATACCCCATTAAACTTATTTATATCTGAAATGTGAGGTAAGAAGTGATAAAATACAGTGCAATGTATAAAACATATGTTACACATGAATCAATCTGTATCCCTTCATCACGCATTATTCCATGTTTTTTAGCAGTCTTACTTATTGAGACATCTGCTACATTCAATTTGATGAATTTTCCATAAGGATCTACCTTTAAAAACACCTGGAAACCCTGAATAATGAAACACTAAGGTAACTACCTGCATCTAATGGCCAACATTATGACAAAAAATGCCCAAATCTTTCTTGCATTGACAAGACAACTCATATTTTAATTTTTCTGTTGAATAACTTTAGAAATGGCACAGGTGGACTTGTTAGAAGTTCTATGTGCACCCTAGATCCTCTGAGACAGAATCTCTTGTGAATAAACTTCAGTGTAGATAGTCCTTATACATTCATACAAAGCAACGCTCATTTTCATAACTGATGCTAGAAAACATTACTATAGAACATGGCTGTACCAAATCTCAACACCCTTATATTGTCCAAATGCTATTAAGTGTTTAAGTTTGTAGTTCAGCATCTGTCTTACTAGGTAAAAGGCAAAAGGGGCAAAGTTTGAGACACCAGGGGAGCATATTTTGCCCTCTGATATTTCCTGCAACTCTGTACCAGGAAAGCTCACATTAGATAATTTCCATCATAGAAGCTTGCAACATTCATGGCACCATCTTCTGTGAAACTGTCTCCATTTTTTAGTGATCCCTGTGAATACATCAGGAGCCCCTTATAAAAGAATACATAATATATTGTTTGTGTTTGAGTTACCTCAGTCAAGATGATATATTTTCTAGTTTAATCCATTAGTTGAAGATTTCACGGTGTCATTTTTAATAGCTGTGCAAGGCTCCATTGTGTAAATACATTACAATTTCTTTATTATTCTGTTAAGGGACATATTGATTGTTTCCAGTTTCTAACTATTTCTAATAAAACTGCAAGGATTATGGTTGAGCAAGTAACCGTGTGTTAGAATGAAGTGTTCTTTGGATATATGCCCAAGAATGTTACAGTTGGATATTGAGCTAGATTAATTGCCAGTTTTTTGAGGAATTGCCATATTGATTTCCAAAGTGGTTCTACAAGTTTGTATCCCCACCTGCAATGGAGGAGTGTTCCTTTTACTTCACATCCTTGCCAGCTTGTACTGTCTTTTGTGTTATTGATCTCAGCCATTCTAAGAAGAGGTGCAAGATGGAATCTAAAAGTCATTTTGATTTGCACTTCCCTGATGGCTAAGGATGTTGACAGATTCTTTCAGCGTTTCTCAGCTATTGGAGATTCCTCTATTAAGAACTTTCTGTTTAGATTTGTTCCCCCATTTAAATAAATGGATTGTTCAGTATTTTTGATATCTAGATTCTTGAGTTCTTCATATATTTTTCATATTAGTCCTCTATAGGATGTGGAATTGGGAAAAATCTTTTCTCCTTCTGCCTCTTGGTCCAATGGACAGTATATCTTGTCTTACAGAAGCTTTTCAGTTTCAATGAGGTCTCATTTGTTAATTGTTGATCACAGTGCCTATCCTTTCAGTGTTCAGTTCAGGAAGTCATCTCCTGTGATGATGCATTCAAGGCTATTTGCTAGTGTGTTTGTTTGTTTTAATCAGGTTCAGTTTAACTGAATTTATGTTGAGGTCTTTGATCCACTTGGACTTGAATTTTATGCAAGGTGAGAAATATGTATCTATTTGCATTCTTCTCCATGCAGACATCCAATTTGATCAGTACCATTTGCTGAAAGTGATATTTTTCCCAGTGTGTAATTCTCTCTCCTTTATAAAAAATCATGTTCATATGTGTGCTGATTTGTGACTTGATCTTCAATTTGATTCCATTTATCGATGTGTCTGTTTTGATGCTAAGACCATGCAGTTTTATAGTACCATCTCTGTAATTTAAGAGTACAACTTGATACCAGGGATAGAGATGCCTGCAGCACTTATTTTATTGTTCAGAATTGTTTTAGGTATCTTTTTTCCCATATGAAGTTGAGTATTCCTGTATGTTGTGAATATGCTTTTCCCCCACTGGTTAAGAAAACAGCTATTTTGGCCTATGGCAAGGCAGGATAGAGCCAAGCAGGAAATCTAAGCAGAGACACAGGAAAAAAGGGTAGAGTCAGGAAAGATGCCAGCCAGCTCCAGAGTAGCAAGATGTGCTAGGGGATAAGCAAAGTCATGAGCCATGTAGCAATACATAGATTAATAGAAATGGGTTATTTTAAAAGTAGGAGATAGTTAACAATAAGCCTGAGAAATAAGGCAACAGTTGTAATTAATATTAAGACTCTGGGTGATTATTTTTAAAGGTGCCTGCAGTACTGGGCAGCACAGAAAATCCTCCATTTACAGAGAACTCTACTTTCCATAACTTTAAAGAATTGTTTTGGAATTTTTATGTGAGATTGCATTGAATCTGTGGATGGTTTTTGGCAGGATGGTCATTTTGGTTACTTTGCTATGTTAATCTCACTGATCCATGAGCATCAGGGAACTGTCCATCTTTTGATATCTTCCTCAATTTCTTTCTTCAAAGACATCAGTTCTTATTATACAAGTCTTTCCCTTGCTTGTTTTGAGTTACTCCAATATGTTTCATAATATCTGTGGCTATTTTTAAGGTTGTTACTTTCCTGACTATATTATTAGTCAATTTGTCTTTTGTATATAGGAGGGACACATGATATTCCTTTTCTTCTTCTTTTCTTTTTTTGTAGTTAATCTTTTTTTTATCATCACTTTTTTTATTTTAATTTTAAATAGCTTGTTTTACATGTCAATCCCAGTTCCCTCTCCCTCCCCTGTTACCTCACTCCCCTTCCCCCCTCCCTCCCACCCTATTGCCAAATCCTTCCACATAGGGGATATCTAGAGTCTGTCATTTTACTCTTGGTAGGGTCAAGGCACTCCCCTAAGAGTCCAGGCTGAGAGAGCATCTCTCTTTGTGCTATAGGCACATGAAGATAGTTTGTATACCAGGGATAGATACTGATCCACAGCCCAGGGCCCCATAGGTTACCCAGGCCTTCTCACTGACACTCACATTTGGGGGGTCCAGATCAGTCCCATGCTGGCCTCCCCACTGTCGGTCTGGGGTCCAAGAGCACTCCCCTGTTCAGATCAGCTGTCTCTGCTGGTTTTGCCAGCCCATTCTTTGCCAATTTGCTCATCACTCCTCTCTCTCTGTCACTGGGTTCCTTGGGTTCAGTTCAGTGATTAGTTGTGTGTTTGCCTCTGCTTCCATCAGTCACAGGATGAAGGCTCCCGGATGGTTATAGACATCAAGTTCATTATCAGGAATGGGCATTCGAGGTGGTCCCTCCACTATTGCTTAGCTTGCCAATTGGTGTTATCCCTTTAGATCACTCGAGGTCACTCTGGTGCCTGATCTGTCTTCGATCCTATGATTCCCTCTTCCCCCTATTCTATCCCCACCCCCTCAACTTCCTGTTCCCCCATGACCAACTGCCTTCCTCTTTACCCCCTCTATTCTTCCCAGGTCCCACTCCCCCCCACCCCTCGCCGTCTTGTATACAGTCTACTTTGATGAAGGTGTTTGTCAGCTCTAAATGTCCCTGGTTGAATTTTTTAGAGTCAGTCATGTATGTTATTATGTAAATAAAGATACTCTGAATTCTTAATTTCCAATTTGTATCCCCTTGATATCCTTCTGTTGTCTTATTGCTCTACCTAAAACTTTAAGTGGTATATTGAACAAATATGGAGAGAAAGGACAAGCTCCTCTTTTTCCTGAGTTTAGAGGAATAGTTTTGAGTTTCTCTCCATTAATTTGATGTTGGTTACAAGCTTACCGTAAATTGTCTTTATTTTCTTCCTGTGTGTCTTTTGATCCCTACCCTCTGT